TGAAGGCTAACATTCTTTGGTCATGAATAAAATCAGATTGTTTTTTATAGGTTTTTCATAAAGTGATAACGTAATTGTTGCCATAAGGCAACAGCATGTGACAGTGGAACTGCAATCTGCGATGCAGACAATGACAGTAAATGAACTTTAATTAAACACATGGAACATAATTTTTAGACACTGATGAAACTGATTATTAATATAATAATTTTCATAGTTCTTTATTCTTAAAACATTTATGCTTTGACAATGAATGTACGTACAGCCCATGTCTGTGTATTGGGTTACTTCCACTGAAGTAACTGAATTACAGTTATGTTGTCAAATCTTTTTGTGAATTCTTTTCTTCTTTAGTATTTAATTAAATTGTTTTGCATGGAACTGAAACTCCTAATAAAGCTTATTTTTTAACCCCTTAAATGGCCAGAGCCCACCAGTGGGCCCAAAGTTTTATTACACACTTCTATAACCTAAGAAGAGCTCAAACAGTTTGCACTGAAGTCCCTGTAGTTACTGAATAATAGGTCTCGGATTTTAAGGGGTTAAAAAGCAAACTATTTTGTAAGTGTGAAGCACTAAACAAAAACACGTTACACAGCTGGGGTGCTCAATGAACGCTGCTAACGGACTGTAGTATCTCACAACTCCAGCCTTGAGGACCCCACTTTCTGCACAGTTTGCGATTTTTTTGTGCTGTAGCCCAACTCCACACACAATTATCAAGTCCATTTTGAGCTGAGCGTGTATTAGATTAAGCAGAACATAAAAATGTGCAGCATACAGGGCACTCACCCACTTTGGCCTACTTTTGCCTGTTTGTCTACACTAGTCTTTACTGTTATTATACTAGAACTCATTATAGCGCAGTCTTACAGCACACCACAGTGTTGTGACTGGAGGCCATCACAAGGTACGGTGCTATGGTGGTTTTCAGATGAATTTATTCCCTCGTTCCACAGTGGGATGACATAAAGGCGAGGAACACTCCATCAGCCCAGGCAAAGCCAGATATCAAACTGTTAGAAATGCTAATGCTGGCTGTCTACAATGAAGTGGATTGGCCATAAGGGGGACCTTTAGTGAGGTCCATATTACAGAAATGCGGCCTAATTTATACACTTTCAAAGATATTTACTATAAAAAGTGCTTTTGTGTTTTTCAGCACATTAATTTTTTACCTATGTTGTTTACATTCATATTTCATTTGTTCATTTTGGAAAAATGGAGGGGAATGTCCAGTTAATCAAATCAAATAAAATCCATTGAAATATTTTTTTTTTGTCCAAGTAAATGAAGTTACTTTATTTATCAGTAGAATTATACAGAACTCTTATTAAGATAGCAGTAGTATTTAGGCTTGAATAAAGTGACTACCCGCCAAATGCAGATTTACATGCTGATGTAGCCTATCGCCTTGTAAACACTCACGGTTATGTCTTATATTCTCAGTAAACTCTCACATTTATTTCAGAGCTGTAGCCTAAAGTGTGAAACATATGCATAGTGGGCAATAAGGCTATGGGCAAACCACAGCGGCTCTGAAGTCAGTGAAGAATCAGTTGTGTCACTTCCGACTGGGTAATTTTGGAATTTAAGCCTTACTTCATAATTAGAAATGAAAAAAACAAACCTTCAAAACTACCGAGGTCCAGGCCCCGATATCCTCATAGCTAATCATGGCCATGTTTGCCCTGTAGACATTTTACCTTTTAAAAATAGCACGGAGGAAATAATTAGCCTTTTGTCAGTTATGTAAATGTCTTGCCCCATGCCCCAAAATAAACACAGCACACTGCTCTCATCTTCTCTGTCATAGAAGTGTTGTTTTTAACCACAAGTCCTCTTAGGCCTATGTGGGTCACAGCACAAAACAGGTTTATTTTGCGCATTTGGTAACATGCAGACGTCCTGAAGAGGCTGAAATACAGCGTTATTAGTTTACAAAAGACATCTCACCAAGAGAGCTGTACAAAATGTGGGATTGCATGCAGGCCATGCCACAACATGCCTTCTGCCTCCAAGCCATGAATGTGAAAGACTGGAGTTGCCATGTTTCTGTATTTTGTGAGTCAACTAATTACAAAATCATTTGGTCTCATTTCAATGCTTTGTTAAACATACCTACGCCTCCATTACAAAAGTCGCTATTCACCCCAGAAGGGGAGGAATAAGCAATGATGATCGGATTTTTCAAAAGGAACACACTCGCCCTTTGGCAGGCTAGCGTCAGTGAGCTAATCAGCTATCTATGCCAAATGTTTGTTTATGAAAATTTTGAACAAAATGTACATACAATTTTATTAATAATGGCTTCGGCTGGTTATAAACTTGGTATAGAACAGTACTGTGGTGCGTTTACTTTTGTCATTAGCAAGGTATCCATTAGTATGCTAACTAGCCGCCTAGCCAAGTAAAGTGATGAAGTTGTATCAGCTGTCATGTATAAGAGATATAAGAGCCCAGCAAATCAAATGTTACCATTTAAAAACATTAAGCATTTCGTGTTTGAAAAGGGAAATGCATCTGGTTGCAGTGATTTCTGGGGAAGTTCTGCTGCTGAAGAAACAAAAGCAACGGAACGTCCCTTAAGATGTCATCAGGGATTCCCCTGAAGGGAATTAGCGAGGCTGAGTGGATGAGAGCTTGTTAAAACTGATTTGAAACGGGAGGATTTCTATAATTATAGGATTATTTCTTCGACAATGTACTACCCATAATGTCTATTTACTTATTTAGAAAATAAATCCACTGCACATTTGTGTCTTCTTCCTGCTAGAAAAACCAGCATAGACCAGCATGGCTGGTCACCAGCAAAACCAGGATTATGTTGTGTTCTGGATGCTGATATGCTGGCCAGCAGCAATGTAAGTTGACATGCTGATCACCACCAAAACCAGCATGTGTTTTGTTTTGATGCTGGTATACTGGTCAATCAGCATGACCAGGCTGGGGTGACCAGGTAAACCAGTACCAGACCAGCATAAATCCCCATTTTTAGTAGGGCTGTTAACCAACTGGAAAAAAAAAAATAATAATTTTTTCATAACACTGATACTTTAACTAGATCAATCTACAATAGTTCTCTTTGTCTTTTTGGTGATGGACTCTTGGAGATTCTCTCTTGTAGTGTGTTGTGTCCGGCCTGTACTGTGTGCATATTTTGTCACTCTAAATAAGAGCATTTAGTATATGAAGACATAGACATGTAAAATGATGTTTATAAAAGGCCCAAAACACTCGAATCCCAGATTACACTTACTGATAAAAACAGTTCCTTAGACTAAAATTTCTGTGGGGTCCCCAGGTTTAGTCACTTACAGGCCTTAACATCAACCTAAATTCAAAACGTTTTTACATTGTTAGTTCACATCCCTGCTCACATTAAGCATGATTCACTATACCGTACCATATAAAAGACAAACCTCTTGTCTTCCCATAATCTTAGATTGAAATGTAGTGACTTTTGTCCACCCCTAAAATGTCTTATGAGTTTAGTTGCATCACAGTGCACCAGCAGACAGAGAAAACTAATATGATTAATAATCAGTACTATCATGATTCTCCTCTCCTTTCCAACAGCCCCACCTATCATTGAGCAAAATGCTCAGCTAGCTGAGATACCCTCCCTGATTCTCCAAAATACATGGACAAAAGTATGTGGACACTGCTCCTAATTATTTAGTTCAGGTGTTTCAGCCAACTATTGTTGCTAATAGGTGTATAAAGTCAAGCACACAGCCATGCAGTCTTCATAGATACATAATGACAGTAAAATAGGTAAAACTGAAGAGTTCAGTGACTTTAAATGTGACATTCTCATAGGATGGCAACTTTGCCACAAATCAGTTTGCGAATTTCTGCCCTGCTAGATGTGCCTCGGTCAACTGTAAGTGCTATTACTATGAAATAGAAGTCTCTACAAGTGCTGAGTGCTGAAATGCATAATGTGTAAAAACTGCCTATCCTCTGTTGTATCACTCACTACAAAGTTCCAGGGTGCCTCTGAAGGCAACATCAGCACAAAAATTGTGCATCAGGAGCTTCATGAAATGGTTTCTTTGGCCGAGCAGCTGCAAACAAGCCTAAGATCACTATGCAGAATGCCAAGCATCAGCTGAAGTGGTGTGAAGGACACTGCCACTGGACTCGAGTAGTTGAAATGTGTTCTCAGAAGTAAGGAAGATGGATGAATCTGGGTATAGCAGATGACAGGAGAACGCTACCTACTGGAATGCACTGTGCCAACAGTAAAGTTTGGTGGAGGAGGAATAATGGTCTAGGACTGTTTTTCAGGGTTTAGTTCCAGTGAAGGGTAATGTTAATGCTAAAGCATACAAAGACATTTTAGACAATTATGTGCTTCCAACAGTTTGGGGAAGGCCCTGTTCCAGCATGACTGTGCTCCTGCGCACAAAGTGAATTCCATAAAGACATGGGTCAACAATTTTAGTATTAGACTCCAATGGTCTGCTCAGAGCCCTGACATCAACCCCACTTAAAACCTTTGGGGTGAATTATAATGTCGATTGCGAGACAAGACTTCTCGTTCAACATTAGTGTCTCACAAATGCTCTCTTGACTGAATGGGCAAAAACTTCCACAGACACACTACTAAATCTTGTGGAAAGCCACCAGAAGAGTGGCGGTTGTTACTGCCATAAAGCGGGGGGCAACTCCATATTAATGCCCATGGTTTTGGAATGGGTTTTCTAGCAATCTCAGATAATAGTGATGGTCAGGTGTCCACATATTTTAGGCCATATAGTGTATGTTATGGCAAAAAAAAGAAGATGTGTCATTCAACAGAGTACAGAAGTGAATAATATAGGGCTGATTTTCAGCATTTTCCTTGTTGTCCATTCCAAGTAGATTTAGCTCCCTCTCGTCTGTAGAGTTAGGTAAGAAATAAGTATATCCCCCTTACAGCGTATAAAAAACCCCAAGATCACCCAATGGGACTGCTTATCATACACACACGGAAACAATCAGCGATGTACCACTCTTAAATAATAATAGCCTACATGCTTTTATTATAGGAGTTCATGTGGGACATTCTTTCATCTAATTATAATAAGCACGCAAAACCCAAATAAACATGTTCCTTAAAATTTGACATAATTAATTCAGTGACCAAATATGAAATGTATAATGAAAAAGGAAAGGCTGCAAAAGAACATCGTTTACAGTGATAATTCACATTCAAAGGCTTAACATCTCAGTACATATACAATGGCCCCCGAACACGAGCGCTTAAAACATGGTTCATATATTAGATTTTAAATAACACAAGGAACAGCACGCTGAGCCACCCTCAGCAAATAACTTTATATAAGAATAAAAATATAAAAGGTGTGTATCCTTAGAACATTGCATTACTTTCTGTACATCACAGTCATATTCGGCCGCAAAACCAGGTAGAATTTCAAATACACAAAGTAACTGCAAAAATAAAGAGAGAGAAAAAAAAAACACATTGGAGGAGGAGAAACACATCTGTACTACACATCTGTTCTATGGTTAATTTAGACAGATCCAGCATTTCTATGTGTTTTTTTGGAACTGAGTAGCCGTTTCCATATTCAGATTGCACTTAGATTTATTTACAGGCAAGAATGGCAAATTTCACCGATGGACAAAAAAAGATCAACCATGCCATTTTCCAGAATGTTAACCTCCAGAAAAGAAAGGGGAAAAAAAACAGGTACCCAAGGTAGATTTTGCACTTTCAGAATTAATGCAAAAAACAAACTAAAATATTCATACAGCAGTTCTGTAAACCTAGTAGTAAAACAAAAATGATACCCAAAAAAAAGCCATGTCTATTCTCGGTGCAACACCGTTTCCTGTACACGGCACTGAATTATTTCATCTTTTATCTGACAATAATTTTTTTCTTTTTTTTTGTAGCTGATCTAAATGTATCACACACTAATAAAGTCTACAGAATCTAGGACACTGCAAGATGAACTGCTGTAGTTAGTTTTTTTGTCTTGTGGCAACAAAGAAAAAAGAACACATAGCTAGCACGTCTCGGAGATGAAACGTTTGTAAGGTTCACCAGTGGTTACACACATCATCACACTCCCACCGTCACTGATGCAGCACACCCTTTATAAAGCAAACAAAGAGAACTCTGAATATTAATGATAACTCAGAGGACTGAAATGCAGGGGGTAGACACGTTGATGGAAAAACCTAGAGTCAAATCTCAACCACATCTTGCATTTAGGCCTGCACATAAACACATTCTGCTGAAGATGAAACTTGATCTTTTACTTGCTTACACGGAACGGAACTGCCACTGATTTTCACATACACTACAGGCCAAAAGTACAGAAGCAAGCAAACATATTTTACCAACAACTAATCCAATATGTTTACTGAAACCTATTTTAACCAAAGTTCCCTTGGTTTTAACTGGGGTTATTACTCCAACCCATTAAGAAAAGCCTTCATAGTCTTTCTTGATGACAGTCCCTTAAGTTAAACAGTTTTTAATTATTTGCAAACTCCTGATTTATAATACCTGATTCAATAACATTCAGCAGGAAAGTCACCAGGAGCAAAACAAATTATGAATTAGATAGTTATACACTATTGCTGCAGACATTTTAATCTGCATTAGTAAATGTATTACCATCTGTTATTTCTCAAAACATACAATTTTGCAAGAGACAAAATGTTAGTGTTACTTCCACTAACTTTACAACTTTTGGCCTGCGGCATATCATGTACCTGCGGTGTTGAAAAAGCCCCAGACTGGGAAATGCAATGGAGAGAGACCCTCGATATTAAAGTAATATTTAAGGCCCATGTACTACATTTTTCTCGTATTTCCTTTTTTCCCCCACTTATATCATTTGCATGGTTTTATTTATAATTGATTTTTTTTTTTTTTGATTCCAACTGTAAACAGGTTGTTTTTGTTACTCTAAGACTATCATAAGTAAATAACCTCTGTTCTGATTGGCTCCCCTGCATTGTGCCTCATTCAGAAAGCAGTGTAGGTTCCCGTTTCAATACTGTTTTTAATATGTCCTCGCCAACTTCAACCCACTACTCGGAAAAGTTTCCTACTTATGTTGAAAAAGTGGTCGCCGCAGTGAGGAGCGGATTTTTCAGTCAGAGCACACGAGCCCTCTGCTAGGTTAGCATCAGTGAACTAATTAGCTAGCCATGCAAAGCTTTTTTGCAAAGTTTGAACATAACATATACGAAACTTGCGAATAATTGCTTTGTCTGGCTGTAAGATTTTGCTTTAGAACTGTAGTGTATCACCTTTAATTTTGGTCTTGCTAGCTGTGTAAATTTTAGCTTGCTAACTAGCAAAATGGTGGAGTAAATCAAGTTGTATTAGCAGTCGTTTATAGGAGATGGGTGTAGTTTGCTACTTTGAACCCAGTGTGAACACAACAAATCGAATGTTATAGTTCTGAAATATTAAGAATTTGAAAGTAGTTTCCTGCTATGACTTACAAAAAGCTTACTCTGCCATTATTTTCAGGTTTGAAAAGGGATATGCCTCAAATCGCAATGATTTCTGGGCAAGTTTTGCTGCTGATATTAATCCTTGTGTTCACTCATTTCTAGGCCTGGGTGATATCTAAGAATTCATTAGCATGATATTTTTAGTTTAAAAACGCGATTATTGATTGTATCAGGTGAAACAGGCAGATATGTAAATGTGTCGGTCACTAAAACGATGAATTCACAATCTTACAATTTGCCTGTGCAGCTTAGTTTCCACCATATGATTCAAAGCGTCTTCTACAGCAGATGCACATTGCTCAATATGTCTGCTTTTAACTCTGATTCACCCACAGCCATGTGCAACCCGCTTTTAGTCTGGTGTCTCCGTTTTGTCTACCCCCACTGACCAGTAAAAATATTTGAGTACCTCTGTATGTCTTGTCAAGCATATTGTATGCAAAGCCACTCTTACACACTAAGGAAGCAGCAGAATTCACAACACAGCAATGATAAATTATTTGGAGCACTTAAAAAGGCAACATGAATTAGCGCAGTGTGCAAAGTCTTACCCATCCAGTGGGGCTATTAGCTATATAAATTTACACACACGCGCACACACATACAAACAGTGCATTCGCTCGTAGCCTAATAAATCAGCTGAATGGTTGAGTGATCTTCACCCACTGAACAAGGTGCGACCACGTAAGAGCACAGAGAACAGGCAAAGCGTCTATGGATTGCTTCCAAGAAAGTACATGATGTTTAACTTAATGTTGAAATGCTATCCTTGTAAATGAATGTTCAAGTGAACAGCTTAAGGGAGTCTTAAAGGAGCTTAACCAGTGAAAGGCTCAGTTCATAAAGACGTGCCTTGACTTGAGAAAAGGATTCTTGCTCCACTTCTCTACATGTCTGTAGTCTGATGGTTGTGGTAAATCTTTCCCCACACTTCTTGGATCTTCTTGCACCACTTGTCTGCATTGCCATTGGGGTCCATTAAATAATAGGTTCTGTTTGGCTGCATGGGGGGAGGATTCACAAATTATGATTGGACTGTGTTTTCATTTCATCATGACTAAGCAAGTATCTAACACATAAAGTTTAAAACATGAAATCCACCTGTACGCTTAAAAAATTACAGCTTCTTAAATGGGTCCTGGCTTGGACATAGAGATCTAAGGTAAAACACAGAACCTTTAAATTAATGTGGAGCTTCTTTAAACTTCTTCATGCTTACACATGACATGCACTATAATGGTTTATTAAAAGAACCCTCAACTGAAAGGAACCAAACATGGTTCTTCTATGGCTTTACTGCAAAGAACCCTTTTTGGCACCCTTTATTTTGAAATGTGCTTTTGCATCCAGTCACATGCAAAGGTTTGGGCACCCCTGGTCAAATGACATGTTTTGTTCATTTTCTAGGTGAAAATAAGCAAACGTCCTCTGCACAATTACTCTTAACATAAAATGTGGCCTGTGCAAGCGTTATAGCCCATTTTATAATTTGTTTTATTATTTTTCAAGTACGTTAAACTTAGCAAATTAACAGAAATTGTGCACTAAAATTTGCAAAAAATGCCATTTTTAAGTTCTCTGTAGAGGATTTGTTAACTTCACCAGAGATTTTCAAACTTTTGCATATGACTGTGAGTGCTGGATACATTCTGAAGTGAAAAGTGGTTAAATCTGTACCGTGTGGACGAAGAACGTCTTGAAGTTCTTGGCCTCTGGTCGCAACTCTGGAGACCATGGAATCTCCCCCTTGAGGACTTTATTTACAGGATCCACATAGTAGAGGTGTGGCCCCTCAGTTAGTAGCAGCTGCCTCCGACGAGCAAATAACCCCTGTGAGGATACAGCAAAACAAACAATAAGTTCATACTGCTGCCTTGGGCCAAAAGGCTACTGTCAATTGCAAGCCACAGACTACAGAGGGCGCTCTCTCTAAGGATAAAGTCAAAACAAGACTACATTCTACACAAATAACAAACAACTGTTAGTCATATGTACCTACTGCATGTGCACTACACACTTAAAAATGATGGTTCTTCAAGGGTTCTTTAGTAAAGAAAATGGTTCTATATAGAATCATGAAGTCTCAAAGAACCCTTTGCATGATTAAAGGGTTATTTGCTTTGTGAAATGGTTCTTCAGATCGATGGAGAATGTGCTGTAGATAGCTCTATATAGAACCTTTTTTGAAAAGGGTTCTATATAGCACCAAAAAGAGTAATTCTCTTCTACTGTAAAAAGCTTGACATGGTAACAATAGAAGAACCCTTTTTGGTGCTATATACAACCCTTTTTAAAAAGGTTCTATCTAGAACCATTTTCTTTACTGAAGAACTTTACTTTAAAGAATGATCCTTTTTAAGAGTGCAGATAATGGGAAAATGCTCACCTTTCTTTTGTCAACTGGTCCCATTTTAAGTATCAAATTATTTTCGACAAATTGGTGCCTTAAAACAGAAAGAAACACAAATGATAAAGAACATAATGCTAAGTTATTACAATGTTCTTGACTGGTCTGAGTCAAGGAGGATCAGTTTAAATGCTATAATTTCATCCATTCAGAAGAAATTAATATCTGAACAACTACAAGGTGAATTTCGGGTCATCAGCTGAACTGAAATTGATCCTAGTAAACTGAAAGAACATCAACCCTGAAGCATACTCCCTTTTTTGCCTGTAAAAAATGCAAATACATATAGCAAGAACATATAAATATGCAGACAGCAGAGCTAACTCTCACCCTTAAAATTTGCTGACCAAACTGCTAAAGCAATGTTCTACCTAAGGCAACCATGTTGCTGAAATATGCTGGCACCTACCAAGGGTTCCCGCTAGTCTGTTTCTGCAGTAGAAGTTGCTTCTCCTCACTGGAGAACTGCAGGTCCAGCTCGAAGGAATTGTTGTCCAGGCCATGGATATATTGCTCAATGTTGCTGCTGGACCTCAGTGGGAGCAAAATGCCTGGTACTGAGAGAGCCTGAGAGGAGCTGGACTGCACCACTTCCATGTTACTAAACTGGCTCAAGAGGTCATCATACTGGCCAAAAAGAAATTCCATACAGCTTATGAGCACAGAGCTAATATGCTTACCAAAAAACAAACAAAATATATATATATATATATATATATATATATATATATTTCTGACAATGACATGTTCAGGCCTTTATACAAAAAGATCAGATTTCTTTTTGACTCCTATCCTAAGTTCGTGTTCAGATGACTCTCAGGTGCATCTGATCATCTGATCTACTCATCAGAGGCTTGTTTAGTTCAATCAGCTTATAGCCATTTTTCAATGGTCACACTGTTAGTAAAGATAAAGAGCAACAAACCAAGTAGTAAAAAAATTCAGAAATTCATAAAGTAATATACACACAAACACAAACACACACACACACACACACACACACACACACACACACACACACACACACTTCCTAAACTTCTTATCCTTCTGGGTTGGGGGGGGGCAGCTGGAGGCTATCCTAGCGGTCACTGGGTGGAAGGCAGGATACACCCTGGACAGGTCGCCAGTCCATTGCAGGGCAGACAGACAGACATAGCGCTGCTGTCGGAAGAAAACCTCGTATCTCCATATTTGTCGTTTTTCAGTTTTTGACATTATGTGAAAATGCCTGTTGACCTTTATATTGTGTGTAAATGGAATGGACCAAAAGAAATGGCCCAAAATTACTTGGAAAAAAAGTCTGGTTCCACTGACGTACATTAGAAGTAATGTAGGTTTTTCCTTCTCCTGTAAAGCTACCATTTTGGAGATACAAGGTTTTGTTCCGACAACAGCGATATACATTCACACACACATTCACACTCAGGGGCAATTTAGCATTTCCAATTGACCTGACCGCATGTCTTAGGACTGTGGGGGGAAACCGGAGCACCCGGAGGAAACCCACGCAGACACAGGGAGAGCTTGCAAACTCCACACAGAAAGGACCCTGGTCGCCCAGCCAGGGAATAAAGTAATATAATATCTCAAAACTGTTCAAATCTTTATGCTGATAATATAATTTGTAATGAAAAAAATACTTAATTAGAAAAGAACACAAAATAGAAGCAATTTCATTATGCTCTTAAACATAAAATTGCCATAAAGGGTTCTTTGAAATGATATCATGGAAGAACTATTTTTCACTGGATGCTTTTTGTTAAAAAACATTTTGTATACATTTGTGCACATGAGATGTAAGAGTGTGAGAAATCTTTTTCAATTTCACAAATGTAAAGGTTCTTTAAGACTGTACTTGAGATGATTATGTATGAAAACACTAAAAACTGGCAAAAGATTGTGCATATACACCACTCATCAGTATTTGGGGCCACCTGGTTTATCAAAATGTTTTTTGAAACATTTAGCTTTTCAAATCAGCATGTATATTTTTTATTATATTACATTTCAGGCTGTTTAGATATCGCCATCTTTACTGCCAAGAACACAAACCAGAAAGAACAAATGTACTTAAGACTAAAGCCATAGCTCATGTCTGTGTGTGTCTAGTGTCATGTGTCAGGTATAAGACCACAGTGTTCATTTTGGGGTGTTGGGTTTTTGTTCGTTTGCTTTGTACTGTTTGTGGTATGTTTGTGATTTGGTTTCTTTTCAACTTTCTTTGCTGGCCCAGGAGTTTTTCCACCATCCAATGAGAATCAAGAAACTTTGCATGTGGCAGTGATGTTTGACCGGGCCGCCAGGGGTGTTTCATTGCGGTGTCTGACTGGGCTGCTAGCTAGGAGGCTCTTCACTGCATTAGAGTAGAGTTTGACTGGGCCGTGAGCTGGGACACTTTTCACTGTGGTAGTGGAGTTTGACTGGGCCATGAGCTGGGACACTTTTCACTGTGGTAGTGGAATTTGACTGAGCCACGAGCCTTTCACCACGGTGGTTGAGTTTGACTGGAATTCAGGTGACTATATATATTGCGGTCAAGAGTTTTCCCCTTGCCAGCTGAAGAATTGTGACCAATTACTCTTTGAGGATTACTAAAGTTCTACTGAACTGAACTCATGAGCGTTGCTGGGTTTAAGAACGCTTTATATAAACTATTTCTATCAAAAACCTACGTTTCATTCCACTTTGTGCCAAATAAAATGAAACTGAATGTTAAAAAAATCCAGCCAAAGAAAACAGCTGTTTAACAGTGAAACTCAAGCACTGTTCAGAAAATTTCAAAAGGAAAGTTTAAAAAGACCTGTACACACTGTCACTATCTGATATTGTTTATGTGACATTAGTTATGCTCACGTTGCCATAGTACTCCTCATCATCCTCAGCCATGGCAGGCAGGTAGGGGGTTAGTTTTGGAGGTGTCCGCAGGTGGAGGTTCTCCCATGCAGCTCCCTCAAAGAACGGATGGACCTTCAGTGGATTGTAACCACCCATCTCCTCACAGCCTAGCCGCCTGGTGGGGTCCAAGCACTTTGAAAGTGAAAACACACACAGTAAAACCACTAGAGCTGACTTATTTATGATTAATTTATGGCTGCTTTCCCAGACCCAGATTAAGGTTTAAACTGGATTAAATAGGTTTTTTCAAATGGTGAAACACCACTGGCATCACAGTTTAGGACAAGACTGGCATCAATCCACATTCAAGAAAACGGCCCCTATAATGCTCATTTAAAGGAATGGTTCACTGAAAAAAACAGATGTAGACAATTTTCCATTTATCCCAGATGTGTTTAATCAGCCAAGATGTGTTTGGTATCTGAAATTTGCTTCTCTAGTTTTGCAGTGGGGCTTTGTAGTTTTGTAGTTCCACTACAAAACTGAAGTAGCCAAATTTGAATAACAGCATTTGGGGTAAGGAGAAAACTGTGTAAAGTTTATTTTTTGTCAAACCTTTCCTTTAAACTTCTAAGTCTGTATCATGTATAAATGACATTAGAAAAGAGACAGTTATAAAATAAAAAATAAAAAACTTCCACTAATTGCTTTCATTTTCATATAGACACACTGACTTACGTTTTGTTATCTAAGTGAATTCTCTGGTTAGAATTACAACATGTACAAGCACTGCTAGCTTCTGCAACACATGATCAAAGGCTAGCATATTTTAAACATATTTTAACATATTTTAAAGTATTTATCTATCACAGTCAATTAAAAAAGTAGGTTGTGTCTCTGTAAGATGTTTTCAAAGAAATAGATGTTTTTGAAGAAAAAAGTTCAGCAAAAAAATCTAATTTACACCATTTTTCAATTTTAACTCACACCAGATGGATCCAATCAGACGTGTTTAGTGTTTGTTTACAACCGGAGCAATGAGGCTAACATAGCTAACGAACACTAGATGTCAATAGTCACCTAAATCTTTTCTGTAAATTAACCCCCAAAACTTCTCTTGCCTCACTCAGTCCAGGTCTTCATTAAGATCGCACAGACGTGCTGATGTGGTTTAACACACAGCACAACTTACTGTGAACTATACAAATGAACAAAACTTCATGAACAAAACATTTTAGACAATGCATGTTGTGCTGAATTCCGACTTCCCTGCACAATCAGACCTCAGATTCAAGTACGTCACACAGACATATGGACTTGAGATTACACTTGTTTCTATTTATAAACCTATATCTTCACTTCAAGATTAAAAGTTAATAAAAATAAACAACAGAAACAGAATGTAGTCTTTGGCATCCATATGCCTACACAAGTGCTTGTTCATCTTTATAGTTCCCCGTAAGTTTCACTGTGTCCTAGACCACATCAACACATCTCTGCCACCTTATTGAAAACCTGGGTGCGGTTTGAGCGGGTTGAGAGATGTTTTGGTAAAAATTTGGGTGACTATTGACTTCTAGTGTGTGTTAGCAATGTTAGCGTCAGGAGTTACAATAGATAAGCAAAATTTGGACACCTACATATCTTGGCTGATCGATTAAATCTGGGATAAGATGAAAGGTGTATAATATTTTTGGCTTCCAAAATAATTAGAATATCATGTATCAGTGCATGATCAAATTGGGCAGTACACAGCTCCAGTCATGGGAACTCACTGTCCTGCATAGTTTTCACTATTCCCTACCTCAACATACCTGATCCAGTTCATAAAGGGCTCGAAAAAAACCTGATGAGCTGGATCAGGTGTGCTGGGAGCAGGGAACAGGTGAATAGCTGAATGAGCCATGCTCTAAATCTCTAAGACAGGAGCTGAGAACCACTGCTGTAGGTTTAATGTACAGAATTGTTGAGCTTGTTTCATAATGTGGTCCATAGAAGGTTAAGTCTAAGACACAATTCAACACTGGTGATTTTCCTATGTACTTTCGATCAGAACCCAAATTTATTAACGTCAACAGACGCAAACAGAACAAACTCACTAATAGTTTCTCCACCAGGTCCTTAGCTTTGGGAAAGAATTTCTCGGGAAATTCATACTCCAGTTTTATTATCTTCTGGAATATCAAGTACTCATTCCTGTTAAAAGACAAACAGAAAGAAGGCAACATAACGGAACAGAGACAATAAAGCATCTAGCTTTCAAACACTGGGGCCCTACTGAGATCTCTTTAAAGAGATGGCTCCAATGAACAGGGTGAATGTACAGTCACATGGCTACGAGTGTTATGTTTTTAACGGCCATCCAAGACAATCTGCTGGTTGTAGTGTAACCATGAGGCAAGTGGGCCACGTGACGTGGTGGTTGGGGTTTTCTCAGAGCCTTCAGACTCTCTACACAAACAAGTCATAAACACCAAAGCCATTACTTCCTGTTATTTCACACCACGTTTCTTATTAAGAAAAAAAAAGAAGAAGAAGGAAAAAAACAGCAATTACAACAATGGTCCCTCTACAGCAAAACAGTCAAAGTGCAAAGTCATATTTGCTTGGTGTAACAGAGATGCAGGAATAGAGAAAATAGGGAAGGCAAGATAAAGGGGCTTACGCTGCTCTGAAGGGGGGCAATCCGGCCACCAACTGGTAAACTATACAGCCTAACGCCCAGAGGTCCGAACTGAAAGCAAACAAGAGAGAAAATGAGCATGCTGGTGCATTTTTAAATGACAACATTTTTAAAATATGTGTTTAAAAAAAAACAGAATAGAATTACACATGTGCAGCTTCAGGTCTCTCACTTAATATTTAAAAGAGTATTTTGGTCAATTATGGTTAACTATGCATTTTTTTCTACCAATTGTGTTCACAGTTAAAAGCACAAATAAGAAGACAATGGGTGAAATAAATAAAATAAATAAGATAAACGGAATATGAGCAAGAACATTTTGGCATGATGGAGAGATCTGTTATGGAAGACTACCTTTTACATGCAGATTTTTCTGTCAGCAGCTCAGGAGAAACATATTGCGCAGTCCCGACGAAAGAGTTTGCTCTTGCTGGAAAGCCAGAAAAAAAAAACAATTACACACAACATACGTGACAAATCCACCAAAGCAAAGACTGTATCTCCAGCATGCACAACAGCAATGAGCATAAACAGAGTGAGGGCTTTGACTCATCATGTGTTTTCCTTCTTCGTTTAAAATGTTTGCATACAGTATATCCCATATTTATGATGTTTTGGTTTTGGAGCACTGGGGGGGGTGGGGGGCGGTTGGTGAATGTATCTATAAATAACAAAGGCCAGCTTATCTCTGACCTACAGCAGGGTTAAGGTAAGTTAACTACAACAGTGGAGTAAACATTGCCTGGAGAAGAGGGAAGTAGAAGTGAACAAAAACAGCCCTCCTTCATAGATTCCACCTTACTTTGAGGACCATCAGAGGAAAACTGTTTTGCAGTTCCGAAATCTGTGATCTGAATGTGCATCTCCTCATTTAGTAAAATATTCTCCGGCTTCAGGTCCCTAGGAAGGGGAAATGGACAGAAAATAGTCAAGAATGGCCAAAACAAATAAAGAAAAACTCCAAAAAACATCCACAAAAATCCCTCAGCAGCAGCTTACCTGTGAATAATTCCTACTGAATGCAGATACTCAAGAGCACACACTATTTCTGCAGTGTAGAACCTTGTGCAAGTCTCATCAAAAGAGCCTATTTTGCGAATGTATCGAAGCAACTCGCCATTCTTTGCATAACTAAGTCCAAAATCTTGACACAGCATTGTTAAGGAGGAAAATAATAATGATAGCAAATCCAAACACAGCTAAGCGCAGCAGTTATTCGCACTCACAATGCCAAAAAGGATACATAATTTTTCAGGGTCTTGAAATGTGAAGTAGAGCTTTACGAAAAAGGGATGATCTAAACTCGACAATATGTCCCTCTCCCTCTTCACATAGTGCGTTTTATTCTCTTTTCTGATGTGCATCTTCTCCAGAATCTTAACTGAAGACAAATAACAAATAAACAACATTTTAATTACATAAATTGGCCAAACGTAAGAACGAATACACAAGCGAAAACAAAGGTTATTGAGTGTTTACATATGAAGAGTTTCATTCCAAAATGCTGTATATGCATAGGAAAAGTTTTGGATATAAAGAGGTCTGAAAAGAATAACAACTGGCATTTAAAACAAGTTTATTTCACTAATAAAGGTGGTGTTAGTCATAATATAGTATTGATATGTGTTGTATGTGTAAAGCCCACTCCCAATAATGGACATCATGGGTAAAAAAAAAAACAAAAACATTCATAAAAGTGGTGCTCAGTGCACTTTGGAACAAAACCACTCATATGTGTATATAGAAAGTTAAACAGACATTACTTGCATATTCCTTTCCTGTAGACAACTCTTTCGCTAGAACAACCTGGAAATTTGGAAACAAAAAAAGGCATTCAAAAACAAATGTAATCAATAGGACTAGAAAGAAAATCGGTATAAAATGATTGTGAACATTTTCTGAAATACTGCTAGTGGAATACAGGCTTATGTTAAGACGCCTATATGCTGAGCAACTGGAGTCATGTTCTGTCCCCTTCTACACTGTATTGGGCCAGTTCAAGCCTAAGCCGACTCTATAAACATTTGAAATGGTACTTTACATACTAACAAACTTAACTGCAAAATCAATATTGAAGATTTCATGATGAAAATGCTCCAAAATTGCTTTGAATAAAACTTTTACATTAACTTACATTAAATGTAAAGAACATTTTTGCCTTCTCCTGTAAATTCACCATTTTTTGAACAGCGAAGATATGAAACACTGGCCCAATATGTTATGGAAGGGGGGAGAAAAAGCATAATTGGATAAAAAAGAACACCAGTGATATTGCAATTCAGTCCAACAGTAAGGATAAACTGTAACACCAAAAGTGATTTAGCATTAAAATGATGTTTAATCCATGTCCACAGATCAAATGCAGTGTCATGACATTGCAAAATAAAATGACTCACGGTTGAAAATGACCCCTCCCCGAGGATCTTGCCAAACTTGAAGTCCTCAGGCCGTTTCTTGCGCTGAGGCTGCGGGCTCTGTGTAGTGGGCTCAGTGGGACCCTCCATGCCGACGGGCTGCGGGCAGCTGGGGCTCTGCCGGACCCTCAGCGAGCAGAGAGGAGCCTGGGAGCACAGCGGGGCCGTGCTGGGCTGAGTGAGAGCAGCATCGTACTGGCAGGGCAGAGGAGAGAGCCGTTTCACACACAGACACATAAACACACAAAAACACGCACAAACGCGCACACCAAGAGGAACAAGTGCGCCTTCAAGTGCCGAGGCAGCAGCTGATAAAGCAGAGGCTGCTTCCGCACGGGGCAGGGCTGGGTTTGTTTATGTGCACGGTTAGGCTACAGGTGCAGCTCCAAGTCAGACATTTCCTTCAGCCCTTTAAGAAGCAGGGATAGGCCGGCTGAACCATGCTTGGAAAATAAGGGCTATTCAAGGGCTCTTTTTCTTTTTTCTTTCATCTTTTTTCTGCCTCACAACATGCCAAAGCATTCATAACGCTCAATGTTTATGCCCATCTGTGTAATATGATGGGATATAGAACACAGAAAATGAGCTCTTGTTTTATTTTGATTAACACCTAAAAAAATTTGTGTCTTTTTCAATTTCTCACTTAACTTACATGTTAGTTTCCTACTATATAGCGACTAATCAGAAAAGTTACTGAATAGTAAGTCTCATTAACTGAATAGCCTGCAGTTTAAGGAATTATTATAACCTTGATAATGTGTGCTGTATCTAATTACATGGATCATCAGATATGGAAAACATACAGATAAACTGTGCTTAAGTGAGTACTGTGTCAAAATCTTATGTAATTAAAAAAAATAAAACCAACAATATACTTAAGCGAAAGTCAAAAAACTGTCAACATTTAAACATACTCAAGTAACTAAAAGCAAGAAGTAAGTGGTTTACCAGATAAGTTTAAGAGTGAAAGCATGTTTTCTTAGGTGGTGGGTGGTGTGGTGATTAACGGGCGTTACTGATTACTGATCTTTACGCAAAGATGAATTGGCATAGTCGCAGTTTCATTTTACAATGATATGAATTTGTTTGGATGCTTTATTACAAGAGGTTATTAAAGTGCACTCTGGAACGCGACTGAAAAAATATAGAAAAAGAGCCTGACCGATGAGATTTGAATCCAGTACTTCGAAAGTCTAAATGAAAACTTTTTTTTTTTCTCTTGGAAATGTAACTGAGAAAGAATACAAGTATTTGGCTTCAATAACACTTGAGTGAAGTACAGATCTATGGTATACTTTCAGAACCTTTAGGGCAGGAATGCTGTCACTGGGGTCAGACTCTCAATGGTACATCTTCAGTACCTAAGGAAACATAATTGTACCGTCTTCGATTGCAGTAATTACTTATTTATAATTTATTTATTTTTTATTTATAATTTTACTCTATGCAGAGTCTAACACATAAACAAAGTTACGATAAAGTACAAATATAAACCTAGCCCTCAGGAAAGTGAACCTTTAATAGTTATTTCGGATACACAATTGGGCCTTAAAAGAATGGTTTGCCAAAATTACACAAATTTTCCCCTCACCTCAGATGTAGTCAATCAGCCAAGGCATGTTTGGCATCCAAATTTTGCTTCTTTAGTTTACCACTGCAGCTGCAAGGCTAACGTTGCCAAAAACACTATCTTTTCCATAAACACATTTCCAAAATACATTATAAACACACCCCTCAGTGCTCTCAAACTGCACCCAGGTCTTCCTTAAGGTTGCACAAACTTGTAAATTTGGGGTTAAGGTACAATATGGCACTGTCAGCAATAAACAACAGTTACGTCTAGCTATGTTTTGTTCATTTTTATATTTAAAGTAATGCATATTGAGCTCTAAACCACATCAACAAGTCTGCGCAACCTTAGTGAAGACCTGGACGAGGGTTGAGAGATGTTTTGGGGATGTATTTACGGGGAAAAAATTGGTTGGTTAATGACTCCTGTGTTTGTTAGCAACATTAGCCTCGTAGCTCCAGCTACCAAAGCTTCATTTTGGACAACAAACTTGTCTGATCAACTTCTTACGGGTAAGTGGAAATTGGAGTCGCTTTTTCCCTCATCACAACATTACTTTAAAGTCACAGGGGACACAGAGGAAAATACTGAAAATGTTTGTATGACATTCAATTAAATGTTATATTAAACATCTAACAAAGCTTGAATGAAAAATATAAGATAAGTTAAACATATGACGAAACACAGCTTAAAAACTGCTGATCAGACCCATCTGAGAACTAGGTGGGCGTGGCTAATGAGCAGTTTGATTGACAGCTCTCTGTCCAGCACTCCCAGCCTGCTCGACCAAACATACAGACCTAAAACCATCATTCAGCTTTTATGTGACGCTAACTGAACGAAAAAAGTCACAAATGAACAGACAGACGAAGCAACGTGCGACGGAACGGACGAACAGACGTGCAGATGGACAGACAGGCGAACAAACGGAAGAAGCAACACATGAAAGAAGGAACGCACGAAAGACGCGTTCGTGTACGGGTAAACAAATGAACGGATGACAGGCAGCTACAGCCTGGTGGTCTAGCTCGCTAGCTTTGGTTTATCCTGTGTTAGCTTTAGCTCGCTAAGTTTCTCTGACTCTAAAACTGTTTTGTGGGGGCGGAGCAAGAGACATCAGGCCTGTGATTGGTAGGAAATGCTTACGGAAGTGTTACCCATGATTTGGACCGCCCAGTTTACATTGAGAGGAGAGAAATACAGTGGAAAATATAAAGGTCATTATTTGGTCATTGGAACAATATTTAAAGGGTTCACTTAGTACATGTCTACTGTTTTGCCAGCAAGAACAAAATGAACCTAATTAGATAGAAAATACAAATTTAGGCTCCCTGGCTTATTACTGACCATGTACATTTACACTGTACCTCGGGGGAACAATTTTTTCCAGGCAGTACTCTTTTTTCTGATAGTGTATTAAAGTACAATTACTTGAGTGTACAGAGACTACAAGCTAAAATCTCTTATAAGACACTTAGAAATTAGCCCGGAGGTGAATTAGGGCATTTCAAAAGAGGAATCCGACGACAAGAAACAAGGCAGCATGTGACTTTTCCACTCCATTCACAAAAATACATCAATAAAATGCTGGCGGTCAACCCGTTAAACAAAAACCCCTCTCAGGGAAAGAAAACTGCAGTACCAGCTTCAAAAATAAACATAGTTTATTTAAAAAAAAGTCTCTGACCTGGTGGCCATGCAAATTACAGAAGGGCCACTTCCCTGCTTCAAGTCAATCAGTCCTCATTTGTTTGTGAGAGTAGCAAAACAAGCCACGTTCTGTGAGGGTTCTGTTATTAGTGTGTACAGGCTGGTACTTTCCAGACACCTGCCACAGAGAGCACCACTCTACAACAATAATTTGTCAAACACACTCAACCACAGAAACCAAAGGGGCTTTTCCCACCCTAGCTTGTAACTCCCAAACACAGGCAGCTTCTCTCAGAACTGAAGGAGTTACTGTATACAGAACTGGATTTAGGCTCAATAACAAGACAATCTGGGTCGGGTCAGGTCAGCATAGGTTCAAGATGTTCACAGTATTCTGAACAAAATATTATAAACAAAAAAATGAAATGGTAATAAGAAGTATGAAGTAAGACTGAGCGAAATTGCAAAAATATATATATATCATGATACACAAAGGCATTTTCACAATATGTGATATATATTATGATATTTTGTTTTAGATATTTAGTAAGGTTTGTGAAGAAGTTGCAACAGACAAGATGCACTAGCAAAACATAAGAGCAACATTTTAAAAATGACACAATGTTTTTTTTAATTCAATGCTTGCAAAGAAAGAAACTATTGAAGAAGGAACAGGATGAAAAATAAACAAACAATTGGTAAAAATATTAACATAAGACAATGGCACAATGACATGACGTCCAACTGGCTACTTGTTGCTGTGCAGTTGTTGTACACTGGCTGTACAGACTGTCTCCACAGTCTTATGCAAATTTTGAAAACCTCCAGTCAAATTACATGTTTTGTTGATTGCTGAAGTAAATATTTGTTAACACAAACATTACAGAGAACAAACTTATATATAACATTTATCTGCAAATTTTAGTGCACACTTTTTATTATTTGCTGAATTTAACATAAAAATAAAACATACAGAATAAAATGTGTCATAAGTTTTGCACAGAGCACATTTTATATTTGTTTTTATTATTTTTTTCCATGTTCCCATGTTAAATTCAGCAAATATACAGGAATTGTGTATTAAATTGTGCAGAAATGGTGTTGTCTGTAGAGGACGTTTTTTTATTAAGTTTCACTTATTTTACAAACTTTTGCATACAACTGTAATCTGTAAATCAGTTTTTTTTTAATATTATATGAAATTGCCTGACACAAAATAATGATTGATTGACATGCCTTTCACAGCCTTTTCTAAGCATAGTTTTCTCAGTCAAGCAAGGGAAAAACTCTGACTAAAAACGCTTGCAACAACTCTGTGGCGAGAAGAGCGTTAGTGAAATTTACTCAGAATTATTAGTCTATCAGATGGGAAAAAACTGGTACTGATGGATGTGTAATTCAAAACCTTTTATCCTGATCATCTGTAGATTGTGTTGTTTTTTTTTGATTCAGTCCTAAAGCTGAAAAAAAAGTTTTGGTTTCCGGTCAAATTACATGTTTTGTTGGTTTTCAAATGAGCACATCCACTACAGGGAACTCACTTAAATATGGCTTTTTTGGCAAATTTGAGTGCACGCCAAGTTTAATATATTGAAAGAAGAAAAAACATACAGAATATAATATGCCATGACTTTTACACAAGCCACATGTTAGGTTTTGTTTTTTTTCCAATATGTTAAATTCAGCAAATGAACAGTGACTGTGTACTGAATTGTGCAGACGTGTGTTCTCTGTTGAAGATGTTAACCTAAGTTTCACTTATTTCACGAACTTTTGCATATGGCTAAAACTGCAATTTTTTTTTTTATAACAATATATGAAATTGACTGGTCACAAAATAATGATTGACATGCCTCTTACAGTCATTCTAGGCCTTTCTCAATCAAGCGAGGGAAAAACTCTGACTAAAACTCCTCACAACAACTCTGTGAGAAGAGCATTAGTAATATTAGTCTAATAGATGATAAAGTAATTT